CTGTGAACGGTGGGGCCCGCTGCATCTGTCGGGTCTCAGGTCCACGTTGAAAACATTTGTCTACCTCTGCTGGAAGCCCTTCTGATTAGTCAGGCTCCTTGAGTTAGAAACATAAGGATTTATAATGAAAAAGAATCACACAGTAAAAACAGAAAGAATGAAAAGAAAACAAACCAATAAAGAACCGCTCCTATCATAACACTGAAGGTTCTGGTATTTGCTGGCTTTGGAGTGAGTTCAAAATAAATGAAAGAAATGTGTATTTTATTAAATGCTAATATTTAGAAGATGTGGGGGGGGGAGGAAAGATAAATACCTCCAATCGTATCTGCAAATGTGAGGCTGGTTAAACTGGTTTCTTTGCACGTGAGCAGCCTGCTCCTCTTTGGAGGGCCACGCCTGGAGCCAATAAGACAACGGCGCTGGGAGGAGTGGAGGTAAGCCTGCCTGCGGCCCAGCGGAGATGGGCACCGCACCGCTCTCCGCCAACACCGTAACCCAATACGGAGCTCTCTCTGCAGCTGCCCACTCGACTTCCGCCTCAGGAAAGCCCTCTGCTGCTGCTCCCACGTCGAGAGCCCCGTAATAAACCCTGTCCTTGCCTGCAACATCTGCCGCTGTGAACATGATCTCTGTTTGTCTTAAAGTATAAATAGGCCCCAAATTTCAAGGGTTCAGCGTACACTGAACCGTGACAGCACAGAGTCTTCCTTTTCTTTTGTGGTAAGAGCCTCATCCCTCTCCTGGGTTTTGACATTCATTTCAAGAACAACAATGGAATAAGGTTGAGAGGAAGGGAATTTCAGGGGGTCAGGAGTACTCACGGGGGTCAGAAATAGTTTTGCTTTTAGTACATTTTCAGTAACACATGTTGCCTAAATTTAGGTCATTTTTCTGTATCCATTTTTATTCTCCACACCAAAGGTAAGAAACCATCCTCAAGCTTATATACACACACATCGTGTGATTATCTTTAAGTAGTTGTACATGGGAGTTGCACTTCAAGCACGCAGTTTTTATGAACGTAATGGACCTTGATTCGCGTCACCCCTTCCCACATCCTGGCCCATCCCTCCCCAGCCCATGCTTCAAAGCTTGGCAAATGCATGCGTGAGCTAGCATGGCAAAATTCCTTCCAACAATTAACATGAAATGCAAGAAAATGAACGCGAGGGAGATGAAGTGTGTTCTGTGGCGATTGTAAGTACTTGTGAGAAAGGGGCAGACCGAGAGGGCGAGCGGGGCGAAGATCATCAAAACAGGTTATGTAATACATGAAAACGGAACAATGATTCTTGCTGAGACTGGTTTGGGAAGGAGAATGAGGCAGGGAGAGGCTGACGGAGGTGCACTGTGTACATGAACGGGTGTGTTAAAATGAAGCACACTTGTATGACTCATCTAAAAAGAAATGGTGGTCAAAATAAGCTGAGACAAAGCTCACTTTACTAGTAAGTTCTTATTCGGTACTCAAAGCAGTTTAAAAGATTCAAATTCATTAACATGATTTTATATAAGCAAAATACAAAATGAATGCACTTCTTTTCAACGAAAGAGTCCTCTCCTCTGCCATAGATTATAAATCAAGACCAACATGCTGACCCTGACAGGCCTGGCCCTGCCATCAGGTAAAATGATTGCATCTGTCTGAATCACCTATAATCCTAGTTACCAGAAGGCTGAGAGCTGAGGACTGAGATTCGAAGCCAGTCTGGGCAGGAAAGTCCATGAGACTCTTGTGTCCAATTAACCACCAAAAAGCTAGAAGTGGGGTTGTAGTTCAAGTATTAAAGCACTAGCCTTGAGTGAAAAAGCTAAGGGACAGCACCTAGGCTCTGCATTCAAGACCCAGTACCAGCATAAAAAATGAAATAAAATATATAAGCTATGAGCAAAAGAAGTGAAAGTACAGAATGATAAAATCTATGTAAGACATTTCATAAGTGTGTTTAATGATCACTTGATGAGATTGACTTTTAAGAGGTGTTTGGATTTTCTGGCGTTAGGCAGTTGTGGCCTAGCTCAGATGGGCAGGAATCACTTCACAGACGATGCAGGTGAGGAGATAAATGGGACTGATGCTTAGAAGAGTCTAACTGACTGTGAACACTTCCAGTGTGAGCTATGTATCACCAAATTATCAATGCTTCAATCGTCATACACAATTAACTGCACCTCAATAATACTGTCATCCTAATGATGGTTATCAGTTTCCTGAACAAACCAACTTCCGCAATTGCAAAAGAAAAGAACAATTAGTCTTTCTAAACAATTCTCATTAAAACTCATGCTGCCAAATGGCTATGCTCTGATCCTATCCAGATCTTAGATTCCTCCAAACCATGCCACCAGAACCATTGCTTCCGCAGCCTATGCCAATCTTACCCCCCCCCACTACCCCCACGCTTCCCGATGTTCAATCAATGATGACATTACTGTCTGGTGTGCAAGGCACCACACCCACACTTATGATGTAGTGATTATTTGTTCTGGGGAAAAGAAAACAGGAAATGTGTGTTTAAACAGAATCACAAAATATTATCACTGATTTTCATAGCCCGTAAATGCAAGTCTAGCCACAAAATTTTAGGAGCTAAAATTTCAAGAGGGTACATAGAAATATTGAAGACCCGTTTGCAGATTTTCTACTTGAGATTTAAGCAATAAGCCTGGGATTCAAAGTTGAGCACAGAGAAAAGATTACACTGCTATATTATGCCTCAATCATCAAATAACGTTTATTATCTAGCATCTGATCTACAGATACAAAGAGATGGTCTCAATGAAAGTGATTTATGATATTTCCATCTTCTCTCACATAAAATGAGAACAACTATAAATAGAGATATAATCAAGTAAAACAGCATGGAAATGACATTTCAGATTGAGAATGGCGTTCAACGTGGTAATATGGGCAAGTGCTGCACTGACACTAAAGCAAATACGAGTTCAATGATCTGGTGTTTGGACCGACCTTACTTTCTAGTTATGTTCTGAGAAGCTATTATTTAAATACATATAATACAACACAGGGTATGGGCTTTTTGTACTTAAGATGTTCTGGCATTTCATAGCTTTATGTAGTCCCACATCAGACCATGAAAACTCTAGCTACTAGAAGGATCACATACTAATAGACTGACACAATGACTTCATAGACATATGCAAAGGATGGCTAATTTTAAGTACTTCGGCAACATACAGATTTCACTTGACTGTCAGTCTGATGCTAAGGTTTCTGAAACAGAAGTACGCAAAAATAGGGCTTAGATTATGTCGTAGGCAATAGTTTCCCTTGAGTTAAAGGGGGAGAAAACACTTAGAACACGTTTTATTACACTTGGAAGTGTTTTGACTTGGGGTAATGCTCGGGGAGGGACCTGTTCTGGATAGTATAGGATGCTTTGCAGACCCACTGACTCTACCCACCAAATTCCAGCAGTACTCCTACTTGTGACAAACAAAAATCATCTTCAAATATGGCTAAAGGTTACCTGAGGGGCAAAGCTAATCACCCCCCACACACCCCAGAGCATTCTTGTAAGAATCAAAGGAGACACTACTGTTTCTATCTGTTGTAAATTACCATCCAAGTATCACATCTCTTTATGTCAAAATCTAAGTAAATTTCTAATCTTTTAGCTTAACAAAGAATATTGTTAAAATGCCATGGATTTTGTTTTAAAAATGCTTACAATGCAACTTATAAAATTTTTCTGTACACAAATGATACTTCTTTCTTTGGGTAAAAATAATTATGCTTTTGGCAAAATTCATCAATCAAACAAGATCAAGCAATCCTTCAAGAACAAGATTGTTCTTGTGCACATTGGTATCCCCAGAGCCTCATACAGGGCTCCAGATACACACGGTTTGCTCCTCATAAACCTTTTGTGAATAAAAAGGGAAATCTTAAAAGAGATTTTTCCTATATTTTTGTGTATATTTTGAATAATGCCTTAATTTTAACGGTCCTCATGACTTGGGGAACTTGACTTTCCCAACATTAGGAAAACTTGCAGACACATAACGGGGGGGGGAGGGCAGTGCGTTGCTAATTATCCATAATTGATTCCCCCATCAGCTCCATTTTCATGTCCCGTATGAAGTATTTTCATAAGTCACACGGTATCATGGTGTTTTAGACATGCCAAATGCATTGTATTCGTCTCCACCGCGCCTCATTTTCAACAGAGGTCTGAGCCTCCTTTGGATCTAGAGTCCATGCACCTGTCCGGGCTACTCTTCTTCCCATAGGTCCCCCCGCCCACCCCCGGCCTCAATCTCTTCACCCTCTGTTCTCACACTCGCCTCCCACCTCGGGGCTGCTCCAGAGCTGCTCTGTGCTCCGGTTTCCTCTCACCCTTTGCCTCCACGACACTAGTCAGCCTTCGCGTCAGTTCATCGCCTCCAAGATCAGCCTTTGCGTCAGTTCATCGCCTCCAAGATCAAGCTTCAGGGACCATTCTCCTCCACCCACCACCACTACCATTCCTCCTTTCCAACTCCTGTTTTCTTCTTTGTGGTATCTGTACTATTTAGGAGGAGTGTCACATCTGTACGTACACACACATTCATATTTACACACATACACACAGATGTGTTTCTGTATGCTTTTTTTCTAACTCGCTCAATGATGATAAAATTTTGCATACCCAATATGTGGCATTTACACAGCCATACCTAATAAATATCTACTGAATAAATGATGCAATAAAGGAAAGAAATCCAAGGTAGCCTTGGATGCTGCCTGGGCCAGGGAAGCCATTGGAGATCAGCAAGGTGGAGGGACCTGTCCCTTGAGCCTCGCTCTTTCTATGTCTCTTTCTTCTGTCTGTGAATAAGATTTGACCGGCATCTCCTCTTGCCAGATGCCTCCCACTCCACCGTGGTTATGTTGTTCCTTGAGCACCTCAGGGCTAGTCAGTGTGCACGCTGTGAGAACTCACGTGGAATGCTTGCTCTTGCAGTGTGTAGTTCTGCCTCTGTGACCACTTGCAAACATTTTCAAACAAAGGCCTCCCGCCTCCATACTTCTCCCAAAGTTCTTCCACTGAGTTTCTTCCTTTCTTCCTTTTCAACTTCATATTCTGTATCATTTCACCTACCACTTTATTCCAGGTACCTTTTGATTTTAGCAAGAGTTCACCTGCTATAATCCCAGAGGTTCTAACTCCAATTGATCACTGGAATAACTCCCCCCCTCTCCATATATTGGGCTCTTCTAAAAGCAAAGCCTACGCAGCTTCAGTCTCTTTCCTTATTCTCCCATATTTGTTCCCAATCCTCCCTCCAGACACATCTTGCCACGGACAATGGAATGACTGTTGGCTTCTTCTCCATATAATAATAAGTAACCCATTCTACTTCTTCTTTTCTAGCTCTCTGATCTGTACCACCATCTCCTCCACCACAATCCCTCCACACCAATGCGTTCCCTACAAATCTTAACCGTCCAACTGTGTCCCCGGAAGTCTTTCCGTGTGTCCAGGCCCCATCTTGTTCTTCTCCCTGCTTCCTGCTGCCTGGTCACCCTTCTGAAGTCCACCTTCCTATGGTCTCCTCGGTTCTGAACTCTTCAAAGCCCCTCAGTAGCTCTTAAGAAAACAGAAAGTACTACTAGTAATACCAAGAGTACTACAGACTGTGCCCTCTCCATGTCTTCATCATTCTGCGTTCTTTATTCAGGTATACCATCCATATGAAAAGCCATTTTACCAAAAACAAACAAGCTATACCAGTAAATGCTCATGGAATAGTATTTCTATGCCTGCTGGCATATTACTTCAGATTAGCAACAACTGCTTAGAGTATCTTTCCCTTCCAAGTAACACTTATATGTGAAAAACACTTATATGTTCTGGATACATCCAGGAGTGGTAGCACATACCTGTAATTCCAGCTACTTGGGAAGAAACTAAGGCAGGCAGATCACAAGTTGAAAAGACTGGAGATGTGACTCAGTGTTAGTTGCTGGCCTAGCATACATGGAGCCCTGGTTCAATCTCCAATAATACAGTAGACACACAGAGAGAAAGAGAAAGGGAGAGGGGAGACAGAGGGGAGGGAAGGGGGGAAGCAAAGAGGAAGGGGGGAGGGAGGGAGGGTGGGAGTGAATGGGGCAGGGAGGGAAGGAAGAAATGGAGGAAGGAAGGGAGGGAGGAAGAAGGAAGGGAAGATGAGAAGGAGAAAGGGAGGGAGGGAAGAAGGGAAGGAGGAAGGGAGGGAGGAAGGGAAGGAAGAAAGTGGGAGGGAGGGAAGGAGGGAGGAAGTGAGGGAGGGAGAGCAGGGTGAGAAAGGAACACTGGACACATCCTGGCTTTATCTCATGAAACTCTAAGCATGGGTACGTCAGTGTGACGTAAGGACCAGGTGAAGGTGAGCACAGCACCTGACAGCACCTGGCACCTCGGGGGCATCCCGTAAAGAGGAGCTCCGGTCACCCCCGCAACCCTCATTCCACGCCAGGAGTGAGTTCAAACACAAGGGGCAGCTCTAACTAAAATGAACACCGCAACTCTCCCCTGCCCTCTAAGAGGTTGTAACCTCATGGCAGGAGGGGAGAACACCGCGTGCTGCCTCAGGGCCGGCGGGCCCACAGGAGCGGCTGGGAGGGAGACGGAGGACGAGGACTCCTCCTGAGGCGGAGGTGGACGCTGAGGACACTCTCCAGCCGTAGGAAACGTTCCCAGGCACACGAGGGCCCACCCTGAACTGTAAAGGGTTACAGCTTACGTGCTTCTGGAAAAGAGATGGGATAAAACTCATTTCCAATGAGCCATTCGTCGATTCTTCAGTTCACTAATTACTGACTTCCTCTTTTTTTTTAATTACCTGGCTTCGGAGGTTAGAGGCGTTCGAGGATGGGAGGTGGGGAGGGAGGGCCAGTCTGAAGTGTGGTCTGACGCACCCTCAGCCTTTTGGATGGAGACCGAACATAAACTGTGGTCTGGCGGGATGTTCTGATACGGAAGGAGTCACTTCTCTCCGCAGCCCTCCAAGTCAATGGCTGTAACGTAAGAAAGGGGAAACATTCTCCAGGAAACACAGAGGAGGAGATGAGCCTCTTCACCCTTGGAAGTGAGTTCACCCGGAAGGTGTAAATGGCTTTCTTTCCTGGTCCCACACAGAGACCGCCTTTGTACAAGTGCACCTGCGCCAGCCAGTCCAGACGCACGACCCTCGGAGGGGGGCCAGGAATCTGCGCCTCCTGGTCACCAGGCGCTCTCTCAGACAGAGGCTGCGGAGTTTACACCCACCCAGCCAAACCTCCGACTATGGAAGAACAATTCAGGTTCAGTGGAGCTGAAATAAGGATACTGGATCTAAGTGTGGCCATCTTGGCATCTAAATAGAAGACATTCTAAATAGGGACATTCTGAGAACTTTAGCGGTAATGGAGGACATGCTTTGGACTACAGGTGTGTCCTGAGCTGTCAAGTTCCAGGGAAGTCTTTCTTCCCCTAGATAATTGGGGTGGCCCCTGATTGTTCCCCATGGATAGTTGGTTTTGCCGATGTATAACACTTTTATTAGGAATAAGTATTCCCATCTAGCTTGCTTTGCTTTATGTATGACATTCTTGTTGAGCTTGGGTGCTGCACCCAAACATGTGGCTTTTGTCTTTGAAAGCTTTGTGTTAAGCCGGGGCTGGTGGCTCCCACCTATAATCCTAGCTACTCGGGAGGCTGAGATCTGAGGATCACAGTTCAAAGCCAGCCCAGGTAGGAAAGTCTGTGAGGCCCTTATCTTCAATAAACTACCAGAAAACAAGAAGTAGTGCTGTGGCTCAAGCGGTCGAGCGCTTGCCTTGAGCTGAAGAGCACAGGGACAGTGCCCACGCCCAGAGTTCAAGCCTCACAACCAAAAACAAAGCTTTGTTTTAGCTGTTCTGGGCTGTAGATCTTTAAGACAGGAGTCTACCTGCAGATGCCGGCTCTCCAATAAAGACTCCCAATTCGACCTCTCAAAATGTGGCCTCACTGTTTTTCTCAATGGAATTCCCGTACAACAGTGACACTACAGGAGAAATGAGGTTGGGGGACTCCACATACAACACAGACCGGGGGCGGGGAGGAAGTCCACAGACAGCCCAGCACAGGGAGGGGAAACCCATGGAAAAGCCACCAGCCATGGTCTGCTAGGTTCGGACCTTCGTGGGAGAGTTAGTTCCAGGCAAAGGCAGTTCCAAAGTAGCCAGGCTTCCAGAAAAAAGAGGACTTTGGAGCCATGCAGGGTCCCTGCTGTGGGAAGGACCCCACAGCCCTCCGGGCAGGGAAAGGTGCCTGGCCCGAGGACAGGCCTGGAGGCGCCGGCCCACATCAGGATAGACAGCTGGATCTTTTCGAAGCAGGTCTGAACTATTTGCTCCTGGATGGAAGGAGTTTTCTGTGTGTTGCTATTTTCATGTCCAAAGACACGTGAGAGGCAGACGTACACTGGGAATGGAGATCTGGCCCCTGCTTCAGAAGAGCCATTGCTCAGGTTGCCCTTCATGGGAAGTTCTTAGCCTAGATCTCAGGAGATCCACCATGTTCCATGGGACAAACGGGGTGGGGAGCGGGGGGGGCCAGGGGGGGATCCAGGACGGCAGAGGAAAGAGAGCATACAAAGATGACAAGCCCTGTAAGTATTTGAGCAAGAAAGTCCCAGAAAGAAAGGAAGGGAGAAAGAGACCCCACCATGGGGCGCTTGTGCGTGACCCTCTTTCATATGGAATTAATGGTGGTTTAATGGAGTATGAAAGGATGTTTTACTGGAAACAACGAGGAACAATTGTCTAGCTCACGTTTCATTTCACAGGTCATTATTGCATTAAGAAGGTAATCGACCAAGTCCGGTAAATAACAGTCTGCGTATTGCCCAGAGCTTCAAACCAACCATTTTAGCCATCACAAACTAATATCTCTGTCATGTTAACCCTTGCAGGGCTGTGCTGGGGGGCTAAACAATTACAGTCCGCACCCCGTTCTAGCAGGTGAGCATCATTCACTGCCCCTCTAAGCCCCTTCTTTTGCAGAACCCAGGAGGCCGTATTTTAGCATTGTTGTTTTGTTGATGAGCCAAATGCAGCTCTTGTGGCCTTGAAAAACAACCCCCATTTTAGCGAGCGCTCCGGGCCTCTTTAAACAGACTGCTTCCTCTGCGAAATTAATTGCTGCAAAACGCAATGCTCCCTCATCTAAGCGTTGGCAAGCCGGCACTCAGCTATCTGGGTGGGCCCTAGATGTTTCCGAGAGATCTTGGGGAAACGAGCCTCTTTCCTTTATTATACAAGTTCACCATGGTGTCAGCAGGCACCAACAGGCACAGAACATCCAGAAGTTGCTAATGTCTGAATTCTGCTGCCATTAACTCTGGGGTGAGGGGTGGGCAAGGAAAATGCTGTCTGTATCTTGAATCCATGCCATCGTAAACATCCCCAAGATGGTTTATCATAAACAATCAAGATTTAAAGCACCCATAGGAAGATACATACTTAAAATGCATGCCACATAAAAGGTTTCCTCTGCTCAATTTGTGACCAAAAAGAAAAAGAGTCAAAGCTCAGCTGTTCTGATTCATAACCATGCCCCAAATACCAGGGTATGTTGATCATTTTCCCACAAATCCTGGTGTCTGCTCTGCCGGCCAGCTGAACAAGAACCCCTCCAGATCTGCAGAGAACCTCTGAAACAAGATGAACAACTTCTTTCCAAAAGGAGACAGAAAATCTTGAAGGGGGAAAAAAGCAAAGACATTCCATTTTTTTTTATTTCACTTATACACTAGAGTGGTCTTATGAAAATCTCTAACATTGCCCTCCACCTCAGATGAGTAAGTAAAATACTGGGTCATGTCAAAGGGACTTGGCAAAACAAGTTTTTGTTGGTTTGGGTGGGTTTTGTGGGTTTTATTTGCTTTTGCCCTTGGTTTTCTGAGACAGTTTCTCGTGGTATCGTCAAGGCTGGCTTCCAAGTCGACCTCCACCTGCCTCAGCCTCCTGAGCACTGGAACTACAGCTGTGTGCAACAATGCCCATTTAAATCTTCAAGTGGGGAGATTTTCCCCAGACTGTGAGCATTTGGAAGCAGAGAACTTTCTCTGACTGGAATCAGAGAGGTGTATAAGAGAAAGCAAGAGAAATACAAAGGATGAGAGAAATAGAATGTGTTCTTGCATGCTTCGAAGAGGAGGGGAGCTCAGGCAATCCTAGGAGCTAAGCATGGGCCTCAGCATCCACTGCTTCCTTCCTTCCTCCCTCCTTCCTTCCTTCCTTCCTTATTTCCTTCCTCTTCCTTCTTTCCTTCCTTCCTCCCTTTTGAACTCAGAGCTCACCTTTGTTATACAGATGCTCTACCAGTTAAGCTCTATGGAATTTGGGGTGCAGTACTTGGTGTTTAAACTTACATCTTTACACTGGCTAGAACTCCACTTCTAGCCCAGCTAAAGGGGAAGGATCCGTGCACCCTATAACTACATGGAATTGAATCTAGTCATAAACCTGCATGACTCTGAAAGTGGCAAAGGAATGTGCCATTTCAGATATGGAAGAAGCAGGGGGTGCGGGGAATCGGGCCAACCCACCATGCTTCTGACCTGCCTATCTCTGAGAGCGTCCCGAGGTGCTGTTTCAAGTCACCCAGGTACTGAGACTCTGCAACTAGAACAACAGAAAATGAGGAGAGCCAACGGAGGTATCATGCGCGGATGTTCAAGCACATGCAGAGACGGCACTGAAGGAACTGGAATACTTGCCTCTAACAGTCACTCACCCGTGACAGCGCCCGGAGTTACAGTTTCTGCAAGCATACTCTCTAGAAAGCTATGAGGCTTGCAATGGGCAGGGGTCCAGGCAGAAAGCTCAATGTGCTGGGACGTATGGGCACATTGTGTCCACCCAGGGGATGCTCGAGGAAGGCTGTGTCCTTCCACAATCTCTCTGGGCTGCTGGTCCATGCCCGCCTCTCACCACAGCTTGGCATCCTCTCCCTTGTTTATCTTGGCCTCTCCTCTGGGGTACCCAACAGCATGGGGTGCTTTGTTCTCACCAGGCGCTTGGAGAGTGAACCAACACAACAGCGATACTCACAAGACCACGTGTTGGAAATGAACTTTACAACACGGGGGCAGGGACATGGAAAGGGAGAGAAAGTGGGAGGAAAACAACAGAGGGGTAACAATGCTCAACAGGAAACATACTACCTTACGGATGTAACTGTAACCCCTCTGTACAGAACCTTGACAACAGAATTAAACTTTAAAAAGAAAGAAAGAAAAACCCTGCTTCACATTGTTAAGAAAAAATGGGGAAAGCTAGAGAAAAATTGTGACCTCATGACAAGCCACTGCTATGTATCTACTTGAGTGTCATTACACATCCCAGCCTCCAGTGTTTGTCCCTGTCAAAACTGCATTTTCTTGGATGTGATATAATCCATTTCTATTGTGCATGGAGAAATGGCTATATGCAAATATATTCACATATGTTTGATATATTTGCATATATCATATTACACATTTAATTTAAAAACTTAATTGATGTCCTGATATCTGTTATATTATCCATATCTTCATATATAGTACATATATATATATACATATATGCATATGTATACATATATATGAAGAGAAACTGACACTTTTGTGGGTGGATTGTATTGTCTTTCAAAAATGCTCAAGTGATGGATAATTACTTTTTTTAAATCCATTTGCTACCAAGTAAGGACCAAATATGTGAATTATTTAGCTAAGTGTGCTTCTATACAAAGTTGTACCAGATGACTATGACCACATAATAATTACCAAGAAATGGTTATGAGCCCAGGCTTTGGAGTCAGACAAAGGTAAGTTTAAATTATGGCTATATACATTCTAGATGGGCACCAGGCAAAATCAGTTAACTCCTCTAAAACTATTTTCCCAAATACTCGAAGGAAATCCCAGTCCTTACTGCATGTGGTAAGAATAAATGTGTGTGAGAAAACTACTATGCACAAGCACTGAGACACAGAATATGCTGAATAAATGGCAGCTATCATTACAGGCAGATAATTCCTGGAACAACTGAACAATCTCAGTCTGCTGTGTTCTGTGGAGGCAGAGCTTTGTTGGTCAAAGGAGGGACAGATCTGTGATGGACAGCTGAGAAGAATGCAGAGAAAGCGGGAAGAGAAATGCCACACAGTGCTGGTGCAGAGTAGCTTCAACCGAAGAACTCAGCTCAGTCCTGAACCTGGTGCTGGCCAGCTGTGTGGCATGGAACACCATCTCCTGTCTCTGTAATTCATTGAAAGGCCTTGTAGAGAACCAGTGAATACTGAAGTAGAGTGAGGCTGTTGTTAAAGGAAGATTTGAAGAATTCGGCAGGAGTAGTAACGGACCGTCTAGCCTGAGAGGTAAAGGAAATGGTCCTCGTTCGCACATTGTCCTTTATAAACCACGTGCAGAAAAAAAAATCCCAACACACTTCAAATCTACCCTAAAAAGCAATCAGATGCCGCACGCTGCTCCCGGCCTAGACACCGGGAAGTCCCAGGCGAGCAAGAAAACAAGGCAAAGGGAAGTTGTTCTTTGAGTCTTACAAAGTGCCACCGCAAGCCTCGTCTCCTCTGGCTGGAGTGCAGGCTGCCTTACAGCCTTCATATTTTAATGCCCCTGACATCCGGAATCCTAAAAGTCTAATGTTGAACCATAAATATCTTCTGAGATTAAAGAGCTATATACCAAGCTTCAATCTTGGGGGCCTATAATTGCTTGGGAAAAGAGAACAGCATTTCCCCCTCTAGCTAGAAGAAAAAGACCTCTGCCAGCGCGGATATTGGCAGACCAAATTTCTGTCGACCGTTTCCTTTCTCCTGGTCTCTCCTCTCGCTTCCACCCTCCCTCTTCATTCTCTCATTTTATAATACCATTTTGCTGTCACTCTCAGGACAAATGGGAGGAAAGAGGCGCTCAGACAGCGCGTGGAGGAAATGCTCGCCGCTGCTGGCCTGTGAAACGCAGAGCGGCCCGGGACTGTGCAGGTGCACACCACTTCATCACTCCGGCGATGACAGTCAAATGCCAACCTTATTTTCTTTTATTTTTTATCAACCTAATCTTTTATGTTTTATTTGAGGAGAGTCACTTTTAAGAGCTCTACAGTGGTTTATAACATTCTTTCTTGGCAGGGGCTCAAGAGGCGGTTCTAAGCTCTGAAAGTATGTCTCCCTCACTCCTGGGAATGGCTAGGAGAGTGTCGCCGGCCCGGAAAGCCCGCCTTCGCCAGGTCTCAAGGTCACCCCATGCTGAATAACATCAAGGAGACTGGGAAAGGCTCATCAGGAATTTAGCTTCGTGATAGACTGTTTCAATGTGGAATTTTAAAACTTAATACCTGGGCTGGGAAGGTGGCTCAGTGGTAGAATGCTTGCCTTGCATGCACGAGGCCCTGGGTTCAATTCTTCAGTGCCACATAAGCAGAAAAAAAAGAGCCGGAAGTGGCGCTGTGGTTCAAGTGGTAGAGCGCTAGCCTTGAGCTAAAGAGCTGAGGGACAGTGCCCAGGCCCAAAGTTCAAGCCCCACAACTGACAAAATAAACACATACATACATACATACATACAAACTTAATACCAACATCCTTTACATTCACTGGCATATTTATTATGAAAGTGGCATTTTGAGGCCATTTGACAAAATTTTCTGTCTATTGAAGACTCATACTTCCACGCTAAATGATATATGCAGAAAAACTAAAGCTTGGAATGCTCTTTCATTCAGAGTCTTAATTTAAGTCACAAATATTCCTATATCTTTGTAGTGGTATTTTCACATTCAGAAACACAAGGGTGTTTATCTCTGCTATATTTGACAAAGAGGCTAATTCTTGATTATTCATAAGAAATTGAAACAGCCCACTTTTTAAATTACAAAATAAGTGCCTTGGGCTGGGAAGGTGGCTCAGTGGTAGAGCGCTTGCCTCACATGCATGAAGCCCTGGGTTCGATTCCTCAGCACCACATAAGCAGAAAAAAGCTGGAAGTGGAGCTGTGGCTCAAGTGGTAGAGCGCTAGCCTTGAGCTGAAGAGCTGAGGGACAGCACCCAGGCCCAGAGTTCAAGCCCCACAACTGACAAAAAGAAAAAAGAAAGAAAATTACCACCTTCTGCACTTAGCATACAAACAATATGCCAGGCACTGCTAGCTTCCATTTTGCCTTCTTCCCATTTCCTTTGGCATGGCTGGAAAAATCACAGAATTCCTTCATAACAGGAGCACTCTGCTTTCTCCCAGTCCACTCCACCAGAGCAAACCAGATGAGAGGAGGCTGTCCATCGTTAGCTGGGGACAGACAAGAAACGGGCAAGAAGCCAGATTGGAAACCCTTGGCATGTGTGTCCTAAGTAGTAACGGCAAGACTTCCTTATTTCCTAAATTATTTTGGATGTTTAGAACATCAGATGCCTCCATAAGTCAGAGTCCTTTCTAGAACAGGATATAAACAGTTCTCAGAGGATCACCTGCTTTGGGATTCACAGTCCTGCACTCTATTCAAAGTTGTCCGCAAATGCAAACCCAGAGATAAGTATAAAACAAATTAACAGCTCTTTCCTCCCCTGGCTACACACCCTGCACCACGCAGATAGCGAAATCCACTGGCACGGGCTCATTTGCCAAGCCACCTACTTGGTGTCTGCTCCTGATATCAAGGTTTTTGACAATATGCCGGAAACCGTGGATATGGGATTGAGGGGAAGGGCGTGTGGACGTGTGGATGAATTTATATGTGCAAATAAAATCTGTTAGGTTCCAAATTAAAAATCAACCTCAAAGGCAATGAACTTCAAATGGCTTGGAGAGACGTGCTAATAAAACAGACAACGGACATGCAGGTGTGCTGGAGAGGGGGACATTAGCCAGACAAACACGACTGTGGGGGAGCGGTCCGTTGCCGTCTCGGGTACTCCGCCGCTGTGCTTTACACAGACCACGGGGAAAGTGCAGAAGGGCATTCGTTGTCTTCAGGCTGAATCTGTGCTTCCCTCCTCCACCAGCCCAGGGACGGAGCTGGAGAGCGGCTGAGCAAGAACGGCTTTTAGAAGAAAAAAGAAAGACAGAATCCTTCCTCAGAAGGAGGAAATTGCTCCCACTTTGGAAGTCAAAGGAACGGCTGCCGGTCCCGTGAGCAAGTGGAAGACACCGTTTCCCATGTGCGGCCCGACCACTCTAAGAGGCCCTGAGATGCATTGTTGGTGCAGTAAACAGCAGGTTCCTTCCAAGGAACACCTTCAGCAACCTCATGGGAAATACTGCGCAGCTTTAAAGCGAGGAGTCCATGAAGAGCAGCTTCATCTACCCCCCCCCGCTCTCCCCCATGCTCATAGCGGCTCGTCCCCAGCCTCCAGTCAGTGGAGTGCATTCATTCATCCACATGACACAACGCCCCAGGTTTACCAGTGACGCCTGCTGTACAGTCGGGGCAGAGAGCTGTGCCCAGCCACACAGACCAGCACTACCATCAGCAGCAAGAACGTGATTTTTTTTTTTTTTTGCCAGAACAACATATCAGGATACAAGGAGAGCAACTATCAGATAGTTCTTCCAAAGAACGTGATGATGTGAACCCAGAGCCTTCGAGTGACATTTTAGAGTTTTTCTTTGTGACAGATGATTTGACTGCCACATTTGTATGTGTCAGACCAAAGACTGCTGCTACAGAAATCAATGACCTGGGCAGGCAAAGGAGGCTGGGCCAGGAAGATCAAGATTTTGAGGTTGGCCTGGGCTGCACAATGAGATGCAGGCAGGCTTGGACAAAGCACATCATGAGACTCCATCTCAAAAACAACAAAAAAGGAGCAGACACACAAACAAACTATTACCTCGTCTTGGCCACAGGAAAAAGCAGGAGAAAATTCCAACCATCATCAAGGGTGCACTCTAATGGGACAAAGAGGTGTGGCAGGTGAGCCCCTGCTTTGGGAAGGAAGGGGATCCCCGGCCGAAGGGAGGCTGGAGAACATGGACAGCGACAGGGAGGCAGCGCCTCTGAAGAGCAGGTGAGCCCCTGCTTTGGGAAGGAAGGGGATCCCCGGCCGGAGTGAGGCTGGAGAACATGGACAGCGACAGGGAGGCAGCGCCTCTGAAGAGCAGGTGAGCCCCTGCTTTGGGAAGGAAGGGGAGGCTGGAGAACATGGACAGCAACAGGGAGGCAGCGCCTCTGAAGAGCTCGTTCTTAGAGCAAAGAAGTGTCACAGTGACTCACTATGCCCTAACGTAGATGCAGGTGGCCTGTAGAAACTGTATCAGTCTTGTCTTGATGTCTCTCAAGGATCAGCATTCCTGAGGTGTGTTCATGGTGGAGCCTGTGTGATCTGAACAGACTCCAACTTTGAACTCAGTTCCTGTCATTGTATTTTTGTTCCCAGATAACACAGCCAAAGTAGGCCCTTCACACACACTCTCTCTCTCCTCTCTCTCTCTCTCACACACACACTCACTCTCTCTCTTACATACATACATACACACACACACACACACACACACACACACATACACACAGAGTTTTGACTATGGGAAGTATGTTCAGATACCACTGACCTGTATCAAAGAAGGATCCAGTCCATTCTGCCTCGATTTTAGGGAACACAGAAACTGGGGGTGGTAAGCCCAGAGTCTTCCCATCCAGATCCTTGAAGAGATATTTTTTCGGATTTTCACAGTTTGATTCAGGACAGATCACTCTTTCTAAATCTTTCCTGTAAAGAAAGGAAGCAACTCTTTTATGCCATGAGATAAAAAGAAGATACTTGTTACAATGATCTGATAGAGTGTACATCCAACAGAAGTTCAGTGTCAATGGTGTGCTAGATATGAAATTAAGCTCTATAGAAAGGATTATTTTCCAGCTAGTGGTCAAGAGGAAGACAACTGAGTTAACCAAATATTCTGGATATGTAATCTTCACAGATTACTGATTTTCCAAGAAGAAAGACACAATAAAATATATCTAACTCTAAAATATTCTGAACACAAGATAAGAACTTGTTGATAGAACTTTGGCAGTATTTTATGATCACCACCATAAATACTAATGATACCACATGAAAACCAAGGAAAAGCAGATTTTTAACAATTACTTAGGTTGGAAAAAACAAACTCTAGAAATATATATTAGATTATAGATTATGGCATTTTGTTACATGCATATAAACTGACTAAGACCGATAGCTTTTCAACTACTTTAGTTCATAAGGAAGACGTGGACAAAAGGAAACTTTGACAGAAAGAAAAAGAATAGAACAAAACAATTGCATGCTTGTGTTTGGTACCTGAAATGGTTCCAGAAATGGCACCAAAAAGGAACTATTGAGAGGCCCAACACACGCTTTTTAACGAAGGTGGGATTCTTTAACCCTGATTCCAATGAATAGAGTTTTTCCCCAATGTTGAGAGAAAGAAGATATAACTCGCTACCTTATTCCTCCTTCTCCTACCCTTTCTTAAGGCAAAAAGATTCTATCTCTGGTTTTCAGGTCTTTAATGAAGCTCTCAGATCATTTGTCCACGAATGGCGGTTGGCCTGTCTGAAGGTTGATACTCCTGGTCTACCCTCCTTGTTGAATTCAGGGCTGCCTGGCAGTGGGCAGAATGCCCTTCTATTGCTTTACTCTACAGGAAGACACCCAAGCCTTCTTCTGAAGACCACTGACCCTGTATTCCAGGCAGAATTAGGTCCAAGTTTTTAACCAGGATTTTGAAAATACCCCCTCAAAGTCTTTTCAATTCACACAATACAATAAAAAAGATAGAAGCATTCATATTCTCATCTCAACCCTTTTCTTAGCCAAAGAATATCAGATGCCTGAGTCCAGACTCAAGAGGGATAAAAAAATAACATCTTCCTCCTTGTGAGAGGGGTTTCAAATATCTTATTTCATAGAAGACACTTGGCATGAATACAGGACCGATAAAGCTGAGTGGCATAAAATCAGTGGGCCATCACACTCCCGGAGGACTGGTGATTTGATGGTTTTATTATTTCATAAGTGCGAGGGATTTGAGAAATTTCCAACTCCTTCAGAAACATGGCACAGTGCCAACACTAACAGCAGTACCTGGGAATCACTGGAGAAAAGCAGAACTTATTCCTCTCCTTTATCTTTAGCATCCGGGTTCTCTCTGCTGTTACTGGGGGCACCATCCCAGTGTTCTCGGCATTGGGAAGAATGCAGATGTCCAGATCATCACCATGGCAGCTTCTCACAAAATTAGAGAAGGTGACATCTGAAATTTAAAAATTAAATAAAACCCTTATCATGTGATGTAAACCACCAACACAAATACAGATATCACAACTGAATATTCCTGCAAGAGTGAATTCTAGAGACAGTTATTCTACCCAGGATAATCTCAGCAGTTTGTGTAATCCTAGATATAAGACAGCTGTACAATGCATGGACTATTGTATGCAAAAAAAAAAAAACAGAAGAAGAAGAGATTCTGTCACATTAAAGGCTTTTAGACATTTTTCATCAGAGGTTTGATCAAAATTCATTCATGTTATAGAAAAACAAAGCAGCGGCCTGCTGGATAGACCAAGGAAGCAGCAAAGTTAGTGCAACAGTGCAAAACCACACTGGTAGAAGGAGGTAAAACTTGAGCACTACCAACCAACTCCTGAGTGTTCTCAGACACGGCACAGACTCTGCCTCTGTTTCCTGATTGTTTAAAACAGTCGCTCCTTCCTAACTGCTTTAACACAACTCCTAAGGGAGTTGTCCTAGGATCCACTTCAATAATCACGATGGAGCTTTCCAGCAACACAATGCTGAGACTGACGGTAAACGTTATCGCTATAAACCTGCCTTGCATCCATCCAAAATGTGAGCTCCTTCCCTGAGCCGCAGCCTCTTCCTGACGGCCTTTCAGAATGCTCCCGAGAACTCTCTTAGTGGAATGGGAGACCCCGGGGCCTAGCCAGGGCCCCACATTTTACCTTGAAGTTTCATGATTCCCGCAACCACCTGACCACTCCTGACTCTGTGCCACGGCTCCTGAGGCCACTGGTTCGGTTCTGCGGTGAACGCGGGCCACAGAATACCAACCCGGCCTCCTCTCGGGTTGGAAGGCGGCCGCTCCGGTGACGTGGAGTTGGCCGAGCGAGGCTCCATCCTGTCCCAAATGCAGTCGAAAGAGGAGCTGGTGGCCACGATGGTGGAATTCTTGACAACAATCTGCACGTGTTTGATGGAGCTCAACGAGGTGGAAGACACATACACCACAGCCAGAAGCCCCACAGTATTGTCTACCAGGCTGAGGTTCTCTATCACCACGCTGTTTTCTGCGTGCACCATAGCGCCGTAGTCAAAATTCTTGAAAGCAAGGAAGCCAGAGATGCCGGTGCAGCCCTCGTGGGTGCCGTCCTTGTAGAGATGAAGGCCATGTAGGCTGGAATGGGCCACATTGTCGGACCAGAGCACCTGAGGGGAGCATCCGTGGCCTCCTACGTGGAAGCCGAGTCTCTCAGACCCTGCCACAATGTTGCCACGGAGGCTGACGCCCGGGGCCCTGTTCACTTTGATCCCTGCCACCCACGGGGTGGACCACGCTGGCTGTGTCACCAGGACGACGAGATTGCCCAGGAGAGAATAGGCCGGGCCTTCCAAATCAATGCCATGGCCGACCATGCCAAACACTACATTGTCCTTTAAGACGAGCCCAGGACTGGCAGATGCGCGCACGCCCCCACCGCAGCTTCGGTGAAGAACGGAAGACATCATCCAGGAGCCTCCTGACGCATTCGAGAATTCGATGGATGAGGACAATGACGATCCCAAGTTCTGAATTTCCACATTCAGAAGCTGCAGTGTACCTACAAACGAAATGCAGGCCATCAGACCCTTTCTACTTCCCCCCTATAAATGCACGACCCGCCACGGCATGAGACTGCAGATTTTTTTATTAAAATGTGAAAGCTCCTACTCAACACCAGCTTCAGATTTCACAACAAGATAGGCATCCCACAAGCAAGCTATGAATCACTGGAAATGCACTCATGCCTAAAACACCTTTGTGTCTAGTCTGAAGAGAGTCTGAGGAGAGACGGGACGGAGGTCTGGGGAAAGAGAGCAGCTTTGCATTAGGCAATGGCAGCGTCCGCCTTGGTCTGGGAGTGTGGCCTATCACTTGGCTAAGAAGGGAGGGAATGTGCTTCCTGGGCACCAGCTCAAGGTCACCCCACTCCTCCCCATCTCAGGGACCACGATGAAAAGGCCATAACCATTTCTACAGTGGCACCGTGTTCATGGATAAAGTGGATGGCCTCGTGAAGTCCTGCAGACATTTCCTAAGAAGAGCGTCAATGAAAATTTCAATCCTGCCCAGTCAGCGTCCAGAGGGGAAAACCTTCGGGTGCTTCTTGATGGAGATCAAAAGCCATAGCGCACTTTGAGATCCTTTAAGAAGGCTGAAACGTGGGAAGTCGTTCCTGTAT